TGATAATAGTAATTATTCTTATGCTGGCCTGGTCTAAAGGGTGAATGTCCAATACCAACCATTAGTAAATGTTTCCGATAACCATACATGTTCTGGAAGGGCCAGGAGAAACCAATGGCATAAACTCCTAAACTGGCTTCCTTTCTTTCTCCGTGTGGATGTTCTGTCACAGGCAAGTGGTGAAGGGAGCTGAGGGCCAGGAATTTGCCAGATTCCGTTTTGCAAACTACTGGCCCTAGGACCTTCACGGTCCATGAGTGATAGATGCCACAGGGACGCAGCAGGGGCTTCCAGCTCAGGCCCCTCACACAAGCGAATCGTCCCCACGCCTGCTGGACAGATGCCCTGCTCACGCCTCTTGCGGTGCCCATGGGTGGATGCACGGCTTAGGGACCCTGGAGTCAGGCCTTCAGAACCTGGGGCACATGGCTTTACATTCTAGAACCTCAGTTTCTTCACCTATAAAATGGGGTCATGAAAGTACTGACACAGAATTAAAGGAAGTAGCTGGTAAAAAGTGCTTGGTTGACATTGCGCCTGGCAGGCAACAAATACTCTGTGTCGGCCAAACAAGGGAGAAGCTGGTCCTATTGTCCATTATGATTACATAGTGAAAATGCTACATCCTTGCATGTGGCCAGCTTTAAGACAGAAATAAAGTCTGAGGCCACTTATCCATTGCTCCTTGACTCTCCTCTCAGTATATCATTAATTAATTAATACATTTAACAAATATTTATTGACTGCCATGCATATGCCAGATGCTGTGCTGGAAGCTTCCCAACAGGAGTGGGGTATATCAAAATACTGATCCCTGGATGCTCAGAGCAGTGGGTGTGGTGTGGGGAGGGAGTGCCCAGTGACCTTGTTGGCCCCTGGACAGTTTCTGTGTGCTTCTGACAAAAGCCAGGCAGCACTGAAGTAATCAACAAGAGGTTGAGTTTCATGTCCTCATAGAGCTCATGCTCTAGTGGGGGACAGGCTGCGAACAAGTAAATGGGTCAGCAGATCACTGCCTGTTGCAGGAGTGCAAAGATGGAGCCACGTGCAGATGAGAGTCTGTCAAGATGGGACTGGCTGGGACATTACTGATAGCATCACTGTGGCTGGTGTCACTTTGGGGGGACTTTTTGGTAGGAGACACTATAGATTGGCTCATAAATGCTTGAAAACTAGTTTGCCAGGAGACAGAAAACGTGGCTCCTATTTTTGGTTTTGCAGCTAACCCACTGTGACCTTCAACAAGCCACTACTCACAGGGTCTTGCATCCCCATCCATATACAGGTGGATGGATTAGACCAGTGGTTCTTAATTTCGGGACTCACATTCCTCCCTGAGAATCTGGAAAGTGTCTCTCAGGCACAAACACACAGAAATTTATCTTCAATGTCAAAGGTTCCCTTTAAACCCCCACAGATCCTTGGCGAAGAACAACAGGCCTCCATGACCTCCGATGTCCTTTCTGGGATTATGACTTTGAGTGGGGTCATGCCTGCAGAGTGGGCATCCTTAGGAGGCCCTCTAGATGGGGGTTGGGACATAATGTTTTGGGTTGAACTACTCAAAAGGGCCAATCAGACTGGACACAAATCTGTATCAGCAAAGCCCAGGCAGGTTAAAAAAATGTGTGTGTGTGTGTAATCACAGTGAGTGCAGACCTTACCATGCAGTGCACAGGCTTTGTGTGGACCTTCCAGCCCGTCACGCATCAGCTGTGTGGCCTTAGGCAAATGACTTAACCTCTCTGAGCCTGTTTTCCCATCTGTACAATGAGATTCATTCTATTAATCTAACTTGATTATTTTCAAGATTGTAAATGATAATGCAGTCTTCACTTTGGAGTAAGCTTTGGACAAGGTTTCATAAGGCCACTTGACCTCTGTTACCCTGTGAATGTTTATAAAAGACTGCAGGTATTCCAGCTAGTAATTTCAACTTGAGCATCACTTGGAACTCCATCCATTCTTTTGCTTTATGGATGATGGATTTTTTGTTCAGAGTCTGAAGCCACTCCCTCCCTCACTATGCCCAATGGGAAGGGAGCCAGTCGGTTGACCTGCAGTCTCTCCGAGTACAGGGAAGACAGAAGCCAGACCTAAGGGAGAAGTGGGAGAGGAAGGGAACAGGGAGGGTTCCAAACCTCGCAGCAGTTTAAATGTTAATATAGGTGTCGGCATAGGAAGTGTCTTCTAATGACAGAAGGAAGCGAGGGAGTTTTTCAATCATCTCCTGCTTAACAGATACAGATGTATTCATAATTATCCCTTGCCTCGGGCCTCGAGGCCCAGGTGGGCTCCAGAAGGCCTGTGTTCCTGCCAGACAAGAGTCCTTAAAGAACATCATGTAGACAATTGGAATGCCATTTATCGTGCAAAACACAATAAAACCCTGAGCGCTCTTCCTGTCTCAGAGACCCATAAATTATGAAAATTATACCTGCCCTAGGCCACGAACATATTGTTTTATTAAAGTTCCGATGAATAAACTTAAGGCTCTTAAAAATGTCCTCTCGGCTTTCATCTGGCACACACCTCCAGCACGGAGCTGTCTGCCGGGGTTCATTTGGTTAGTTCACAAATGTTCTTTGGAAAGTTGAGTGCATTTCAAGTTGCAGGTTCAGCAGGCTGGAGGGTCCAGCTGGGGAGCTGCAGGAGTGGTTTGGGGGCCTCCTGGCGAGATGACAAAGTTGCCAGGAGGTTCTAGTTGTCTGCCACTAGAGGTGGGTGACCACCCCCCCAAGACCATTCTTTGTGGGCCCAGTGCCAGGTATGTGGTGCCCTGATAGGGGGTGTGCAATTTGTGGGTGTAGAAACGGTTGAATTTTGCTTCTTCCCCCTTATTTTTCAATTTGGTCACCAGGTAAGAGTCTTTTTAGTCCATCCTATGCTTTCTTCAAAGTGTGGTGCTAAAACCTTCAGCTCTTCCTTTTTCCTGCCTACCCCTCAACCGTGTATTATTAGGCATGTGACAACTTCTGTGAACCTCAGTTTCTGTACCTCTAAGCAGGAACAATGGTGTCTGACACGTATGTTCAATACCTGGCAAAAGGAATCTGTTCAACAAAGGCTCAGCATTGTCATTACCCAACAGCCATTGCGTAACTGGGAACCAGGAACGGGCCAGCCCAGCAAAGACAGGAGGAAGGCACATGTGGAATTTTCTCTGGATACCAATAAAACAAAACAAAACAAAAAACAAGCACACATCCACTCAACGCTTGTTTCCCCCAAGAGCCCACTGCCCTGTATAGGCTTGTGCTATTTTTAGTCCCCAAACACTAAAAACAAAAACAAAATGGAACCGGGGCACCTACTAAAACCTGAGACTGAACCGAAGCCTGGTGTGCGTGTGAAGGCTTCCCCCCCTTCCTGAAACGATTCCTGGGAATCATGTCAGCCAAAATGGCATAAAGTGAAGCAGCAATTACCATTCATTTATATGGAAAAATTTTTGAGTGCTCTCAGACCCAAAATATAACCTACTAAATCATACCAAATACACTTAATTATGTCCAATTTTATGCCAAGCAAAACACTCTTACGAGTTTTCTTAGGACTTTTCTGATACCTTAGGACATGTCTTACTAATGGATGAACAAAACTAACAGAGAATTGCACAGGTGCCCAAAACTATGGCAACTTGATGCCGAGATGCTGAGTGTAGTTCCCTGAAGGAGCTTGGGCCAGTCTGCCTGCTTGGTACCTCTCACTGTGCAGGGAGTAGGCTGCCTCTGTCAGTTTACTACAACACAAACACAGAACGCTAATTTTTATTCACTTTTCACCTTTTTTCACAAAAGCAAAAATCCTCTTCCGATTTCTTTCAGTTAGCTAAAACAGGTAGTTTACAAAGTGCTGCTGTAAGGCAAACTTTCCGAAAGGAGGGGTTACCTGTAATTGGCACTGAGCCAGTTAAAAGGCATCCTTCAGTGCCAGGTACTTACCTCATCAGCAAAGTAAGATACCAGAGCACCAATTACCCCCTATCCACCCTGCGGGAATGGGACAGGCCACACGGTCTGGCCAAGGGAAGTTGGCCGATCTTTTTTCTCAAGTTTATAGAGCAGACAAGACCACACTGAGGAACATCCTTTGTGCCTTCTCGGGCAGTGACCAGGGGCTTCTTGTCGAAGAACCTGAGGCTTTCAGAGCTGGAAGACACCATGACTGGTGACCCCAGAGAAACCAAAACTGGACCTAGGGGTCCTCTCTCCCTTCATCCCTGTGCCCCACCTGCCCACAGTGTTGTCTGCCTCTAGTTATTGGAGTTAAAATCTGTCTATCTCAGTTCCTTTTCTTTCAGAAAACAGGAGGCATGTGTACACATGTTCAAAGTAAGTCCACCTTTCATTGTAATTGGCATGTGAGTTAAAATGAACACATTCCCCCAGCTACACAAACTGACAAGTGGCCAGTCCCTACCACGTTTGAGTGTACCAGCGAGCTGACGGAAGGTGCATTATTAGGAGGGCAAAGGGGTAAAGGCAAGACAATCGGTGGGTGGAAGGGACTGGTTTGGGGCAATGTCTGCCAATCTGGCCCAGGTGCATGTTTGCACTTGAAAGCGTGTAAATTCATGGGAACCTGTTTTGGGGGCTAGACTAGGGCATACAAGCTGTAGAACCTTGTAAACTACACAGGTCAGATGACCCTTCCCCACCTCCCAACACTCTTCCCTGTTTGAATTTGGTCGACTGTTACACATACTTGCCTGTGTACAGGAGGGCTTGCAAGAGGGGGAAATAGCAGCACCTGGCAGGATTCAGCTTCCTGAGAAAAGTGAAACTTTCCTCCAGCGGTTCTCTGATCACTCTAGAGGCAGAGAAAGGGAAGGCCCTGCCCTGGCCCAGCAGGCCCTTTCTCCTGTCCCCTTGTCCCGCCAGAGCTTGGGCACACACTTCCATTTAGTGAGTGTTCTTTGACAAACATGAGGCCTTCCTCATTGGGTGAGATGTAAGGGATCATGAATGCACAAACACACAAGAAACAGCAGTCCTGTGTATATTTAACAATATATATTTATATATATTTTCTAGATCAGTACATTCAGTTTTAACTTGTTTTTTTCTTCACAAACAGAAGAACTCTTACAATAGTAGACTTTCTAAAATAAATACTATTAAAATAGAGCTTCAAAATAAATATTCTATACAAAGGGAACCTTCTGGGTAACTTGTGTTGTGGGGTGAGAAGGGACTACAGTGAAGAGGGAAAACGTAAGGGCGAGATGTGGCGGGGTGGGAACCTGTGACGGCTTTTCCTGTTGCAGGTGCCTAACTGGGGGCAGTGAGAAGAGAAAGCAAGGTAGGACACCACACGGAGTTACCCACAGCAAAAAAACGGCAGCGCAAGAATTGTCACCAGCTGTCACAGTTAGCGGAGGGCATGAAGACGCTTACCGGAGGCATGGACCAGAGGGCCGGTGAAGCTTGCGGACGCCCTAGTGAGCGGGGCCACACCGCACAGTGCAAAGTCGTGCTGCCCACACCCCATCGGACGTACGGGGCAGCACAGGAGGACACAAAGCTTTGAGGTGACTGAATTCCCGGTGCCGGCCCCAACCGATGCTTTCTGTGTCGTGCAGTCCTGGACAAGTCACTGTCTGCCTGGGTCTCACTCAACGTGCAATGAGGACCCTCACAGGGTCCTGGCAGACAGCAGGACGCTGAACGGCCTGGATGTGTCACACAGAGGTCTTCCATCTTTGTCAGCAGGGACTGTCAGAAGCCTTGGCTGTGACTCATCTTCTACCTGGGAGGGCTTGACTACCCTGCACTGCCCCCAGGGCGCTTGTTGGAGTGTTGGGCTTTCACAGACCCACACTGCCTGTGGCAGGGAGCAGCCCAGCCCCCTAGGACAAGTGCCCTGGACCAAAGCTTGTGGGCCCCACCCCCAGTTCCAGGCAGAACAGAACCACCACCCACTCCAGGTTGAAGAGAAGTGGGAACCAGCTGACACTTTTCAAAAAAGGTCAAGATGAGGACTAGCCCAGCCAAGCCACTGGTGACAGTAAACACAATCAGCCAGAGCAGCCACAGAAATGTGTTGTATTATGGAGAGCTTGGTCCCTCAGTGGCCCTTGACTGGTCCCCAGGCAAGCCAGTCTTCACATGCGGAGGGACTGTTATGCGTTGGAGCTGGGGGGAGGACCCAAGCCCCCATTCCTCCCCCTTCACCACTGAGCACACAGGACACCCAGGGGCTCTGCAGACATCCATGAGCAGGTTGAATGCAAACTAAAAAGAACAAGCCAAAACGGGGGAGGAAAAAAAAAGGGAAAGGAAAACCAAAACCCAGAAAAATCCGTTTACAACTATGTACACAAAAAGTCAGATTCAGGAGGCTGTTTGTCGGAAACGGGGTCAATGTGGGTAGAGGGCGGGCAGGCAGGAGCGTGTGTATACACAGCTTATGTGAGTCAATTTCCCACAGAACAGGTGTGCAGGGCTCCATCGCCAAGTGCACCTCACCATGGGGTCAGGTCTCCCGTGGAGACATCCGAGGGAGAGGCTCTGGGGGCGTCCCGAGGCCTCCCTGAGAGTGGACTCGTGCCCTCTGGTTTTGGGGGTAGCCTCTGCACACCTATTCTGAGAACATCTCAGTCCCTTCAGTACACATCTGATACATTCAATTAGTATAAGTGGTTGGCTGAATGTGTTTTCTCCTACCAGCCCCTCCATTTGTGCAAGAACATCCATACATCCATCACAACTGTGGCAAGGTTAGCTATGTGAATCAGCCATGGACAACGCAGATGCAGTATTTCATATTTGCCTTTTACAAGCTAGCAAGTGTTATATAAATAAAGCCTGAAATAATAAGACCCTCCCCTCCTTTCCTCCAATCAATAAATACCTATGGTTACAATGAACTTACTGTGAATCATAAGATGTTGTTACTAGTCTTCAAGAAGGGGGAAAAGGAAGTTCTTGAGAACCACTGGGCCTATGCCTATCATAGTGCCCTACCTCCTTCTGGAGGCAGTTCTGTGCCTACAGGACAAACTGGAAATGCCACAAACGCTTTATAGTTAATGCACTTCCCATTTCCCCCATGGTGGGGGGCGCACTTTCCTGACCCAGGCCACTTCCTCTCGTTGAGGGGAGAGGGGACAGGGGACACAAAATACCACGTGAAGCAATATCCCCACACACAACAGCTGGGGAGAAGGACCAGACACACTACAGCGTTTGCATGCAACAAGTACCTACCCACTGGACGTGCTGCACTTTCTGAATTCTTTAGCACCTTGAAAGGAAGAGTTGCTACATCTCTGGGGGCTGTCCAGCAGGTGGTGTGGCCATGCACAGAAGCAGGGCTCGACCCCCAAGGAGCCCCCAGAGAATCTTTCCCCCACCCGCATTCTTCTGACTTCCCCACCAGGGCTTCCTAACACTAAAATAGACTCTTTTCCCATCATCTGTCTATTTACATGAAAGGTACAGACACATCACTGTACATGAAAGGCTACGGCAGCAAGCAGCAGAATCGGAAGAGAAGAAACCGGCACCCATCTCGGCTCCACTGTCACTGCCAACGGGAGGTGCTGCCTCTCTTCTTTGCTGTTAAAATCCTCTTCTTGGCGGGGAGGGGGATTGTGTTCCTTGAGGTTGCTCGCCCCCCAGATTTTGAAATCAGCCCTTCCTGGGGGTGGCCCAAAAGGAAGCAAGTGTTTTATTATTTTCTAAAACACCGTTAGCATCTGGTTTAATTATTCTATAAAAACATAATGACTGGATCCAGAGACCACAGCCTCAGACTCATTGGCAAAATGGTATTTGGTCTCGCATTTGCCGCCCTGGGCTTCTCGACCCATAGTTTCTGGAGAAGATCTGGGTAGAGAGAACTCGGGACAAGTTAGCGGGCAGGTGAGTCTGTGACTCAGTAAGAACTGGAGGACGGCGTTAGGAGTGCAACTCCCCCAGAGTGGTGGAGCTGGAGGGGCGAGGTGCTCTGTGTAGTGGCTCCTAAATCCATCCGTGGCTCCAGGGAGACAGCGAGGAGCAAGGCCTAGACTCACCGGCCTCTGTTCTCAGGGGCTCCCAAGTATATACAACAAGGGCGGCCAGGGTCTACACCTTCCCCGAGATGTCAGGCAAATTGGGGAGAGGGAGGAGAAAAAGAATAGTCATCAAGACTCCAGGGTCTTCTTCAAAGGTCCCCTGGCCACTCAGTTAGTGGTTCCTCCCAGGCAGTCACAGAGAATGGAAAAAGGGGGGGGGGGAGGGAGGGAGGAGGGAGAACTGGGAAGGCATTCAAGCAGCTGCAACTTCCGGATACGTGGCCACATCTGTGTTCCGTCTTCTGAAAAAGAAAAATCCCCCCAAAACCACACCACACCCCTGCCACTCTGTTTCACACAAAGTTCCAGGACCTTGAAAAAAGCCCAAGTGCTTCTTCATCCTTTTGAGGAAGAGAGTAGGCGTTGGGGGTCGGGGGCTGTCTTGTTTCTTCAGAAGCTGAGGTGGGCAGACTGGCAAGGTCAGTCTCAGGACGCTGGAACCCCTGGCCTTGCTGCAGTCTTCTCAGGTGGCAGAAGGGAACAAAGACGCCAGGTGGAATGCAGGGGGCTTCGACCCGAGGTGTCAGAAAGGCTTGTCGGGTCTGCCGGCCTTGGCCTCACTGGTGGCTGCCTTGCAGATGACGCTGTTCGTGTGCTTGCAGCGGCAGCCAGGGCGACGCAGGTGGTCGTAGCCGCGCTGGGCCAGCTTCACACAGCCGGTGGCAGGCAGGTAGCAGAGGAGGCAGGGCAGCACCAGGGAGAGGGCGCCCATGAAGGACCAGCGGGCGCAGCAGTTGGAGCGGGAGCAGGAGCAGGGGTGGTCAGCGCAGGAGCCCTCATCGTCCTCGTTGGTGCAGTGGTAGAAGACGCCCTGCACCAGGCACATGCAGGTGCCGTAGTTGACCAGCGTCTGGGCTGAGCACAGGCACTCCTGGTTGCAGACCCAGCAGGAGGGCAACGTCCGGGGTGATGCACACTCCTTGCACTTACACTTGCCACAGGCCTCACACAGCAAGAAGTGCTTGTCCAGCTCTGGTGGGATTGCTGGGCCCTTCAGGTCCAGTGGCTTGCAGTGGACCACCTTGGGCTGGATGCGCACAGCCCTGGGGGAGGCCTGGTCAGCCACAGGCGGTGGTGCCATGTGATCTAAGAGGCGCTGGTCAGAGGACGTGCTGCTGCTGCTGCTCACAGAGCTGGGGCGCCCACTGAAGGAGATCCAGTGGTGGGTGACATCCTGGTCACAGCGGACAGGCGTAGGGGCCAGCTCCGGGGCCCCACCCCGGGTCCGCTTAGGGCCACTCTGGGGTGCCAGGCCAGGGTTGTCTATGTAGTCGTTCTCCACGTGGCTGGTCTTCATCTGGTCGATGGGGAGGATGGTGAGTGGATGTTGGAGCCGGCTATGGGGCATTCGGCCGTCAAGAAGGGGCTGGACCATGACTGAGCTGGGAGTCAAAGGGACGTTCTGTGGAATCGGGGGCTCCATGGGGCTGGCGGTCCTGGGCTGTGCTGAGGAAACAGGCTTCTAGGGACCCTGGGGGTGGGGGGAGGAAGAGAGAATGGATTCCAGGCATCAGTATTTGGCCTGTCAGTACCCCTACCCCCATCTGGTCCTCATGAACCCAAGTGAAGTGGGAACTGGTTTCCCCATTGGTGGACTCTCCAGCATTAAGGCTTAGCTGGTCAATAATGACAAGAACAGTAATAGTAAGTGGTTCACACGAAACTGTCAGTAACAGAACCAGGACTCAAACCCGGGCTCTCTGAGTTCATTCTTGTAACCTCTGTGAAACTCGCTGCTTATTTAAGATAGGGAGCTCAATGGTGATCAACACAGGCTCTGGGACCAGATCTAAGTTCGAATTCTCCCTTCCCCTAGCAGCACTGCTGTGAATGAGGTTCTTTTCTGTAGTCTCTACGCTTCAGCGTCATCAACAGTAAAATGGGTTCTTGTGCGGATTACACGAGAAAGTATATATCCAGTCCCTAACATCTTGCCTGGTGACAGCGAATGCTCAGTGATCCATCGCCGTCCCCGAGAGACACAGTCTGCATTTCCTGAGCCCTAATGAGTGCTACATGCCAAGCATTGTGCTGAGGATGTGGTGACCACAAGAGACAGCCCCTGTATGCTCCCATAAAGCTTATCAGCTGGATAAACAAAAGCCTTTATTTCAGAGAGTCACAAGAGAAGGAAGGGCTGTAGCTGATGCCAGCACGTCCAGGATATTAACTTATTACCAGCACTTCTAAGAGCAGCAACTTCCAGTGGCTAATAACCCATGGGTAGGTGCGCTTCTGACAAGTTGGATGGGAAATCCTCTCGAGGGGCACTCACATCGCCCATTTCCAAGTGCTGAGCTGAACATTCAGCCTAAATGCTATTTACTAGAATAGCTAAGCCAACCCTGGATCAGTTTCTAATTTCACCGAGAGAGTGCAATTTTAAGTTGGAATCCCGCCAGAGATTCAACTGCAGTGCCTGACACGGAACCCCAGGAAGTCACTTAAATCAAAGAGCGGAAATGGCTTGGTTCAAATTTAGAAAGTGCACATTGTTTTCTATTAGAAGTGCCATTTCCTCGCCTGCTGACCTTTACATTCGGAATTCGGCTGGAGATCAATTTAAAGAAATAGCAGTAGAAGGCCAAGACCTCTGCCCAAGGGGACATGATTTGGAATCCAAGAGAAAGATTAGACTCTGGGAAGATTCTACCGGGGGTGGGGGTGGGGTGGGGGACAAAACAGGCTGTGTGGATAGAAGGGGAAGATACCATCTAAAAAAAAAAAAAAAGGCCGCTGGAACAATGTGTTATGGGGTGGGGTTTCAACAAATGCTTTTTCAAGATGCTAATGAGGTTGTAACTAGGAGCGCACACCCTGTGCCTCAGCCATTAGGTTCATCTTCTCACAAAGGTGACGTCTAAGAAGGGGGTGTGGGTGCGTTTCCACATCCCCACACCGTCGCTCCAGACTCGGGACACAGTCGGTCCACCGCAATATTCCAGGCACAGGAGAACGACACCTTGCCCGGGTGACTCGTCCATACTTCTCGACGTCTACAGTAAGGAGGGAAGGGGAAACAAAAAAAGCATTTGAGGCAACTCAGTCTTACACTTCCTCCACTTGGAACAACAGTTTGATTGGGAATAGTTCAATCGTTGGGAAAGGACTTCCTTAGATGATTTCCAGCCCATCCAAGAGAAAGAGCTAGCTCTAGATGCAAAGTTCACGAAGGGGATAGAAGGGAGCTTATCTGCAGGATTCTCATCTGTACATCATCTATACCGCCAAACACAAAAAAACCTTTTCTGCAACGTTCAGTGTGCAGTCAGCTGACCTTGCCCATTTGCACAGGACACGAACTGTTGGCTTTGCTCCCATAGCCCTACACGCCTAAAAGACGCTAGTATTTCTGTTCTAAGTTTTCTCCATCTTGGAGAAAGTCTGCCTAGTAGCAGCGCCTGTCATCTACCTTCATGTTCCCTCCAGATGAGAAGACAGCATCGTCTTCAACTGGGAGACACCCCCATGGCAGAGTTAGCTCTAAGTGTCTGGCAGGTCTGCCACCAAGGAGTCATTTGCCAAGGTGGCCTCCTGTGGTCAGGGCCGGATGGGGGTGATGGCAAGTAAGCTCCACGAGAGGAGTTTTCCCGTTTTCCCAAGGATCAAGCTGGCCATGGGGGAGGAACTTCAGGAAATGCTACCCGAGCCCACTTAGCCTTCGCAGGGATTCCTGCTTCTAGCATGCATGGGTTTGGGGTCAACAGAAGAGAGTTAGGAGCCCTATGTCCTTTGCCTGGAGGAAAGGTGTGACTAGGCAGAAGAATGGGAAATGCTGGCAGAGGCACAGGATAACACTGGCATCAGCCAAGAAGTGCCTCAGCCAGAACCACCACCCCAGGCAAAGACAACATGAGTCCCTTATTTCAGAAGCTCAGGTCACGAACACTCACGGTCCTGCCAACGAAATGTCTGGGGTGGTTCGAAGGCTGTATTGCCCCATGCTGGTGGGCTTTTTGTCTCCTAGGACCAGGATTGGGGCCTGCCATGCTGTGGGGGAAAGGGTGGGTGCTCCCTCTCCCAAGCAGATGATCCACTCTTCTTTCCCCAATTCTATTCCTGGGGTTCTTTTAAAAACAACCACTTTCTGTGGATGAAGCAAAAAGTACGAGCCATGCTCAGGGATTTTAACAGGCTCTGGAATCAGAAGGCAGATTCACAGAAAAAGTCCCATCGAAAAGCCCCACCAGGAAGCAAGGGTGGGAGCTGGGACTGCAGGGAACGGGCATATTGGCATTAGAAGGCTCCCATCACCCTCCAGAGGCAGCTGTCAGCATCTGGGCCTGCAGCTGGAACCAGACGCGGGGGTGGGAGCGCGGTCCACAATGACTAAGCTCTCTGGGGACAGGCTGCATCCAAGATGGCTCCAGCAGGCACATCCTAAAATGCATCTTCCCCGAAATCCAAAACACTAATTCAAAATACATATGCCCCCCCCCATATTAATTGCAGCATTGTTTAAAATAACCAAGATACGGAAGCAACCTCAGTGTCCATCAGACTAAAGAATTAAGATGTGGTACATATGTACAAATGGAATATTGCTCGGTCATAAAAAAGAATGAAATCTTACCATTTGTGGCAACATGGATAGGCAAAGAAGGTATTATAAATGAAATAAGTCTGACAAAAAACAAATACCAAAAAATAAAATAAAACGATGGTTGCCAGATGGAAGGGGGGCTAGGCGAATGGGTAAAAAAGGTGCAAGGGATATAACACCACTTATAAAAGTAGTCCCGGGGGCGTATCGGTAGTCTAGTCATTAACTGTGTGTGGCTATGTGGACCATCAGATGGGTGACTTCCCAGGGGGATCACTTCATAAGGTACATAAATGTCTAATCACTATGTTGTACACCCAAAACTAACATTGCATGGCAACTGTAATTAAAACATAAAATAAAAAAGTTTACGACAAAAAGCTTTTTTCTTGTTAAAAATATAAATGTATCTTTTCCTATCATAACCCAGACACAGTATTCCTTCTGGCCACCAGCTCAGCGAAAACTATCTGCTGGCTCAAAGCTGCACTGCACAAACCTTCTGAGGCCTCCAGGCCTCACCTCCCCATTAGCAGGGAGCCTCCACAGGAGGGCTGAATTCATTTGTCTGACAAAGAAAAACAACTTCTGGAACAGCCTGTTTGATAACCCCTCAGCACAGTTAAATGAAGTCTCAGGGAAAAAAAATCCCCAACCCTCCGCTGGTTTCAAAGATCAATCTCAACTCCCAGGGACACACCCACCCTCCAGAGTCTAAGCAACGCTGATGAACTTAAGTGCAGTTTAATATGTACTCTGCTTCCCCTGCAAGGAAGGAAGATATTTATAATATAAATAGGAGAGAGGAGGCTTTGCCTCATTTAGGCTGCTCGGAAGACTGATGGCCAATCTGGAAGACTGTGGACAGAGAAACAAAGCCAGCACTCCACTTAGCCAGAAGCACCTCTGCTGCGTTTTAGGTGGTGGTCGGATGGATTAGCATGAGGAAAGAAAACTTTCACTCCACTCCAACCTTCTAGTACGAATAAATACTCATTATGGAAGTAGCTAATATTTATGCAACATTTCTTGGTGTTAGGCTCTATGCTAAGCCCTCAGTGATTTTCTCATTTAATCCTCACCATCACCTTGGAGGATAACACCCATTTTGCGGAGGAAGAAACATTAGAACTAAGGGTCACAGACCTGGCAAGTCATCAGGGACGGGTTCAAACCCAGATGGCAAATGCTTCAGAGGCTGCCACCTTGGCCCTGACTTCCAACAACTTCTGGTTCTTCACGGAAGCGCATGTAAGTGTCAGTCACTTTCACAACAGCCGTGAACTCTACCTGTCTCCCCAGTCTGCCACCAGCCCTCTGGGAGGGACATCAGGCCACCTGTCCTTTTAACCAAACCAACAGGGAAATGAAGCCATGCAGGGCTGCCGTGAGCCTGGCCTCCAGGTCGGGGAATTTTCAGTATGGAAAGTGGAGGCTCGGGGTTTGAAATCTGCCATTAAAGAAGGCTCAGAGATCTCTTATCATCTCCACTTTCTATCTTCAATTCCAATTGTTTTCTTCGCTCTCCCTTCTGTCACCTCATCACCCTTCCCCCAGCTTACTGTGCCTTTTCATTTCTAGTTTTCTTAAAATTGAATGGGTCTCACTTGTAGGACCCTCACCACAAAGGGGTCCCTAAAAGGAAACCCAGGAATGGAAGGGAATCCTCTCTCTTCCCACCTGTAACGCTGAACTTCAGGGTCCAAGGGCTTGTTCATGGGCAGGACATCCTAGCCCAGGGCTGTGGGGAAGGAGGGAAAGCCAGAAAAAGAGAGTCCTAGAACACTGAATCAGCAGGAGACTGGAAAGCCCGGAGCACACAGCCCTGTACTTGCAGCTTGGGCGGCTGTGAGCCTGACACTGCATTTGTACCTGAGGGGAGGAGCTGAGCCTTGGGCCCCTCAGCACAGGCTAGCTAAAAAGAATCAAGTGACCTGGCAAATGTCGGCACCACCCACCCACCCCTACCCTTTCCCCTTGACTTATCCTGGGGAGAGCAGTTGGGAAATATTAGGAAAAGGTGACAGTTGTGCTTTGAAAACTACAGGTCAGTCGAGACAAACTGGCAAGAGGATCTGAATGAATGGGCAGTTTCTGCACTGCCCCATTCAGTCTCAGCAGGTTCTTTCAGTGAAAGTTGTTTAACCCTTTCACAGCTCAGGAAAAAGGTCTCTAGGCTGCCAGAGAGCCCGCCCACCACTATCCACCCCTATCCCCGGGTTCTTTGTGACAACATCCCAGTTTAAGTTAATTAAGTTCCAACCAAATAATGACTTATTGCTTCAAAAAGACTTTAAAGAGGAGGGGGAGGGAACCCAGGGACTTGCCTGCCCTACACCCTACTGAGGAGGACAATCTCTGCATCTGTGCTGAGAATAGCCCATTGGGAGAAAAAAGCACATTTAAGCAGCTGGATTTGTCTGAGAATCCTTGCTCCCCGCCCTACCTCCCACTCCTGCGCCAGCACTAGGGAGCTCACCTCTGGCCATAATCTGCTAACATCACAAAAGAAAACAGCTGCTTTTCATCACACAGTTCCATCACCGGTTATCAGTTCCCAACCCTCTTCTTTTCCTCTTCCACAACCTATCAATTGAGCTCCAAAGCTCCAGCCCCAGGAGGAGTGGGAGAGGGTTTGGGGCTCAGAGCTAGTCTAACCGGCTTCAGATTTTGGCTTCAATGTGTTACCCCCCTAATTGTTGTCTGCTCAGATGCCCTTAGAGAGGGACCAGAAATCAAGAGTCAGAGTCGAATGGGGCTAGAAGAAGCCTGTTAACACTGAACAACTGGACCACATCAAAGGGGGGGGGGCACAGAAACCTAGCTGCCTCAGGGAAGGGCCTCCTCTTACCGCCAAGATCATCTTATCTCACCACCCTCCAGGAACCAGTGACCTTAGAGTAGATTTCAGCTTACTTCTGGGAGGGGCAGGAAGTGGCTCCCCCTGCCCCTTAAGCAGAAAAAGAAAGACTACCTGACAAGGGAAACCACTCTTCTGCAAATGGCCACCTACCCCAGAAGGGCCTCTTTCCTCCCTCCACTACATCCAGCACATCTGTGCTCCCTCCCCAGTGCCCTTGCTTCCTCTACTGACTGTCCTTGGAAAGAACAATCGTGATCACAGCTGAGCATTGGAGCTTCTTAAGCCCTGCCACATGTCCCGGATACATCCCTAGCCTTGTCAGCTGTCCGGATCTGCAGGGTGGCCCCAGACCCATGAAAGCCAAGAATATGCTGCCTCTTACATCATGTAACATCCCATACCTCCTGTGTAGGAGGGGCTCCCTCACAACCAGGCCCTCTAACTAGGCGCCCAGTAGTACAAATATCAGTACCTGCCCTGCCCTGCCCTGCCCTGCCCGCTTGCTAGCTGCCCAGCTGACCCTGGCCCCATGGAAGGAGTTCCTTCTCCCCATTCTGCAGACGGGGAGACTGAGGCCCAGAGCTCAGCGGGTTTCCTAGCTACCATCTGTTTTGACCTAGCTCCTGCCTTGATCTAGAAGGAATAAAACGGTTTTCATTAGGTTGCTCTTTATCACCTTCTTTCTGTGGCTCTTTTGAAAGAGCAAAACTCTATTCCAATGAGTCACTGCTTTCCCTCCTGTCAGGGAGATCCAGGTTGGCCAAGAGAAGGAAACTTCTCCACTCTTGCCATTCTCCTTCCTTAACAGCACTGCCTCATCTACACCCCACATCCAAATTTCCAGCTGGATCCAGAGATGTGTGCAAGAATCCTTGCCCAAGTTGTCCTCACAAGGGAACTTCCACTTCAATAGGGATGGGATGACAGGCATTGTGGACTCAGAATTACCTAAATGCTGTAACTGCTATAACTCTAAGAACGAAAAACTTCTCTGAAGAAAGGGAGGGGGCTCCTTTCCAAGCCTCCTTGGTACCAAGACCCGGATGGCTTGTGGTGGCCCAAAACTGGGGGCTGAAAGATGTCACACCCAAAGGACGTTTAACATCAGCAATTGGAAAAGAAGTCCCCATATGTGATCCCCAAGTATTAAGCCCCAGAGTAGCAACCCCTCGAGGGCCATTTCTGAGGGTGTTAATGGGTGTTTTTTTCCACCCTTAATTTTTAAATTACTGACTATCAAATCTTGCACTGAAAAGCTGCCTTGTTATTCAGATCAGTGAAACTCTGGGCAGGGATACACCATCAGGTTTATGGGCGGGTGGCGGGGGGAGTAAAAGAGTAGGAACTGGGTGTGAACAGGACTTAGGGTGCAATTCCAAAGAGCCTTGTCTCTCCACCTATTCTGGAAGGAGAAACCAAAAATATTATCTGAGGTCTCCAAATGGCCACCAGCCCCTAGCTTCTGCCCTGCTTGAACCAGGAATCGTTCTCTTCTGTGTGTCCTGTCTCCTCCCACCAAGCCCAGCCAAAGCGTTAAGGAAGACCTTGCCATTTCAGAGGGTAATCTGGAAAAGGTCATGGGAATGAGAAGAACATTTACAGCCACAAAAAGGGGAATAACTCCTGAGTTTAGGATCTAAAAAGGAATACAATCAAGAGATGTCTTTAAAGTGTTCCTCACCTTAGCTGACCAACGTGTGTCCATCAAGATTTCAGAAGCCCACCCACCAAAAGCCCCCTACCTGGCACTGGCCACACAGCTCAGCGGGTCAGTGTGTGAATTGCTCAGTTAGGATTTGCCTGGAGCCTGTTGGCAAGTGAGGACCCTCCCAAGGGCTGGGAAAAAGGAAATTCAATTTCACACAGGACATGTCTGCAACTTTCCCACCCTTCTGCTGAGAGGAGACCAACTGCAGCCTTCCTTTCCTAGTTGCCCCACACCCACACATGAAAGGGGAAAAAGCCTAAAAATGTCAGATGTTTATGCTCCATTTGTGTGAAGATCCAGAGAACTCTAAACATTGTGAAATCACCAGTGCGATATTGAGTAGGGCCTCAGGCCAGACCAATCTTATTCAGATTGATAAACCTACATTTCTTAAATACTCTGGGCCTTCAGCTTAAAGCTTTGTATCTCCCAGAGGCTCACCAGAGAGATTGGAGAACGTTGATCAGCAATCCCGACAGATGACATGCACTTGCTCCCACCCCTCCCCAAACTTGAGACAATCACGCCACTGATTTGGAGGGAGGAAAGAGGGGGTTGATCAGCAATCCCGACAGACGACATGCACTTGCTCCCACCCCTCCCCAAACTTGAGACAATCACGCCACTGATTTGGAGTGAAGAAAGAGGGGGTTCCCCACTGGGTCTGGCCACTCCACCGAACCCACACCTTTCCTTTCAGCACTAACCATACTGGGGGACTCCCAAAGCCTCCTGCCCTCACCCAGGCCTGGCAATATGGATGCCCATCCAGCAGCTGGTGAAATGAGGCAGGTAGCAGCTCTCCCCTCTCCCACCATCCAGCCCCTCCAGCCCAGTACATTTCTCCCGTCCATTGCTCAGCCATGCAACCATTTTCCGCCTCTCTAGTCTCCTCTGCCCACAACCCCCAGCCCCTAGTCAGAGAATTGAGAAACCGTCTTCTTGCACAAGAGCAGCTACTGTCTAAATGCTTTTTGATCGTCTGCATAGATGGGGAACTGGGCGCAGCCCTGGCCCCAGTGATGGAGCCAAGCTCCAGCTGCCCTAACTGGCCAAATCCGCCCTCGCCCCCCTTCTCTGCCCCCCGTGGCCTTGGCGATTCAGATTTTACAGAACGTACCGTCTCTATCCTCTCTCGGTGATGTCAAGCCTGGTACCACCAAGAAGGAAGGAGGGAAAGCGGGAGCCTTATCTCTCCTACGCACGCAACCTCTTCCTCCAGCTCCCACACGCCCGGCGTTATGTAAACGCACCTTCAGCCCCCACCACAGCCCCAGAGCGCCCGGCGCCTGGCACAGCTCGGTGCCCGGGGACAGGGAGGCCGAGGTGCCTCAGGCCCTGCAGAGGCCGAGAAAGGGAAAGGCAACTGCTAGGCAGTTGCACAGCATAAAATGAGGCAGCAGAGCAAAGGTCAGACGGCGAGGACTCGCTTCGCCAAAATGAGGGAGCAGAAATGCCCAGTCCCGAGCCAGCCCAGCGCTGACCATCGAGGGGAGAGGCAGAGAAGGGTAGAGAAGCCTGCCCGTCACAACTCCGATGGGGAATGAAAACCCTACGTCGGGCATAGGCCGCTGCTGCGGGCTGGGGAGATCTACGGAATAACTGGCATCGTGGGCACCGAGCCCGCGGTGGGCGAGCCGCCCAGGGCGAGGGCGCCCGCCGGACTCAAAAGGTGCCTCCTTTAAGGATCCCAGAGCCTCCTTTTCCAGCGCCCGAGCCGGGTGGTGGCGGGAGGGAAGGGGCCAGATCAAAGGCAAACTCCAGGGACACGCACGGGGCTTCCCGAGTCGTAGAGTGCGAGGAAGCCGGGCTTGGCAATGCTCGGGGGTTGGAAACGCCGGTGCCAGGCTGTGAACACCCCCGGCGCCGTGCCGGCCCAGCCCAGGGCGTCTGGGAGCTGCGGCGCACCGCAGCGGCTCAAGGAGGCGCTGGGAGAGAGAAGGAACATTGAGGCGCGCCTAGAAATAGCGCACCATTTGCCCCAGCCCGAGGGGCAGTCGCGTCGCGGCTCAGAGCGGGACACTTTCGGATCCCGAAACCGGCCAGGGACTTACTTTGAGGAGCCGCAGAGTCACAAGCATTTCTCCACGTCTGTGCAAATCCCCTAACCAGAGTGGTTCAGACGGCGCTGTCCTCGCGGACGCCGGCCGAAGAAACCGGTACTGCTTCCTGAGCTCTGCACCGCGAGCTCCGCGCTGTCAGCTTCTCTAGCTGCCTCCGCGGCGGTGTTGCAACCACTGCCTGGGAAAATGGCTTTTTTATGAATGGGAGGGAAAGAAGCTCCAGTGCGCACGCGCGCCGTTCGCGATTCTATGAATGGGTGGGCACAAGAGACCCCCGCGCGCGCATGCGCTGCGCTTTTTTTTTTTTTATGAATGGGGGGCCGGAAAAGAACTTAACCCGTGATTGCTGGGGCTGACTCTCGCTCCTCCAGGGGCCGTCGCTTTTTACAGAGGGGTGGAGGTTGTTGCCTTTTTTTTTTTTTTTTTTAATTAAATGAATGGAGGGCGGCGGCAACTGCCGCAGCTGGCTCAGCTGCGCGAACTGTGCCCCCTCCCAGCCTGCGAGAGGAGGTAAAGGCCACCTTCACGCCACTGCGGGCCAGGGCCAGAACCGTCAGTGTCGGGGGGGGGGGGGGGTGCGCTGCGGCCTCTGGGTCTTAGGCCGAGAGTTGGGCGGGTGAGGACACACCTAAATTTAGAGATCTCTACCCGCCGCAGGCAGTCGTGGGGGCAGGGAACGGGAAGGCCCCTGGTGGGGGCCTTCTCTTTCTCTAGACTAGCGGCGTCGGGGGAGGGGTCTTGAAGCGCGTTTACTCGAAATTAAGAAAACGTCAAACGCTCATATCAAAGAGGGGCGGAGTGGGGGTTACAGAGTGAATCTAGTTCCTTTCCCGAGGCTGAGTCTCCCTGGAGTGCAGACCACCCCTCCCCCCTTTTCTTGGGTGTGGACAGTGACAGGGCCGAGGCCTCTTCCGGCCCCAATACCCCCCAAGGGCCATGGTGGCTACTCCGCGGAGGAGACCTGGCTCCCTTCTCGCAGCAACATTTTCGCTTCGCCCCAATGTAAGGACCGCAGTGCCCCGGCGGCCGTCCGACCTTTGCTGCACTGACTAGCTGCCCCCCTGTGCATCCCCGTACGTTTCCCAGCCCTCAGGATGCGGGGCTGAGAGCCTCTGTCTACCCACGGCCACTGCCCTCCGCTGCAGTAGTCGCCTTTCCCTAACCACCCCCACCAACTCCCCTCCGGAGAAACGGGAGCGGCGGCGAATTGGCCAGGTGGATGGGTGGGGCCGGCCGCGCAGAGGATGCTGCCGGCGTGGCCGCGAGATTAAATAACAGGGCTCTTGAGCCGCAGAGGAAATGGAAATGGCCAGGAATCTTTTCTTTGCAGTTAATGTAGGGGGCCGGGGCGGGGGGCGGGGAGGGTGGGGAACGTATCAGCAGAAGAGCGTTTCAGTGAAAAGAAAAGGTCCCGCCATTAGGCCTAACCCAAGCAAGGTGGGGAGCCCTCGCAGCAGGCCCAGCTCCGCCCAGGAACCGAGGAGGCTGTAGCCTCAGGGGAGTTAGGGGTAGGGGGTCGCTTTGATGCGGGGATAAGAGCTGGGCCGAGGCCTGAATCCCCAGTGCGATTTGTCTTGCTGGTATTCTGGCTTCACCGGAAGGTTGTGAGGCTGTCTTTTTCTAACTACGCCACCATAGGACTGTGCTTGGCTCTTGTCAGAGGAGCCGATGACAGGCCTTGGGCTGGGGCTCTGGAGACAGGCAACGGAGGAACATTTTGCAAACCCAGAACAGAACCCAAGGTCACCGAGCCCCGGTCTAAAATGCTTTTTCCCTACTCAGATGCAGCTTTACAGTGCGATTGACTCACTCATCTACTGGGAGACCAGGCCCTCCCTAGGGGAACCTCAGTCATCCTTCAGGGCCAAGACCTTCCTTAAAGCCAAGAAGAAAAACTCTATACGAGGACAATAGAGTATTTTATAGTTGTTCAGGTCTTCCCTTTAAAGGTTTTAATTAAAGTTCAGTATCATTATTCCCGTTCATCAGATACAGAAATTGAGGCCAAGGTATCTGCACCTCCTAAATGGAAGATCTAGTAAATTCTAGTGCTGATTTTCCAGACCTCTGCAATTTTGTTCTTTCTACTTTGCTACTACCCCTCTCAGCATCACAAACCTAAAAACCTGTTTCTTGCAAGTCATTCAAGCATGTTAAGAAAGGAAGGTTGGAGCAGTAATTTTCCATCCAGTGTTCACACGTGGGCCTTGCTCAAACAATCAAAAAAGATGGGAATAAATAAATCCTTTCTAAACTGTGGAGGAAAGTCGGGGTACTGGGGGATTCACTGTTCTATGTCTTTTATTAGAGAAATTATCCAAGAGGTAGTGTTCCTTCCATTTCTGGTCTTTCTCAGCTTTCCTGAAGGAGAAGGTAAGGAGACCTTAGGCCTGGTAGGATGGTGAGAAGATGAATGAGCCCCCAGTTTTGAGCTGGGAGGAGCCTGTGATGCCTGAGCCCAGTGTGATTCAGTGTCTAGGACGGTACTGGGGACCATATTCGGCTCTTACTTGGGAGCTAAAGGGAGGAGAGATCTGGGGCAATTGTTATGAAAAAAAATTCATTCATTCATTCATTCATTCATTGATATATTCTGTGCTAGCACCTGCCCTGATTCTGGGGACTCACTGGTGAGAGACAGACAGCCCTCCCTGCCCTTGAGGAGCTCATAGTCTTTTAGAGGGACAGACAGAGATCTGAGGCCAGACAAGTGCTAGGAGGGAAAAGTAAATGGGGTCCTGGGCTGTGGGTGAATGGGCAGAAGGACCTGATTTTAATTTGGGCACCAAAGAGTATCTTTCCAAGAGAGAGCTTGGGGTTATGACTTGAGTCCAGAAAACAAAAGCGTGAACCTGAGGGTGGTTGAGGAGACGTGTCAGTCAGAGGGAGCCTGAGTGGAGTGCCTGTGTGGGGACAAGCATGGTCTGGAGGTGCTGATCAGAGGCCTCTGTGGCCACGCCTGATAAGCAAGGTTGAAGTTGGCCCAGTGAGGAGTTCAGATATGATCATCTTAATGGGTTTTGAGAAGGGTTGTGACACAGTCTGATTTGTGTTTTAAGCTCCTCTAACAGTCCAAACCCTAGTGGGTGAGGGGACAGAACAGCAAATGGTGGGGGAATGCAAAACATTTTTTCCTTAACAGGTTTAAGGTACCACATTCATTCTTTTGGATTGGGCAGCCAGTAGGCCTGTGCTGGAATTTTTTTTTTTTTTTTTTTTTTTTTTGCTACTTCATCTGACTTTGTTCATTCCAAACCTGCTCAGTCTCTTCCCCAGTATAACTTTTCTGCTGCAGGCAAATCCAAGACAACCTTGCATTCCTGCCCCTGCTAATTACAGTTTTTCACCCCAACTTCAGTGTAGATGTCTTCACCCCCACCAGACTGAGGCAAGGAAAATAGAGTGGGTTTAGTTCCGGGCTTTGCCCTCTTATTAAGCTCCTGGCCTGGTCAGGACCTGGGAGCTGAGTTAGTGCGAGTGAGGAGAGGCAGGAATTCCAATTCAATGACAGACACTTATGGAGTACTTACTGTGCGCCAGACCTGTGCCCCAGACCTGTGCCCCGCATGTTTTCCTACGTACTGCTGCTTTAAAAAGCTGTGTTCTGGGTCTTATCATTGCTCTTTTTCAGATAAGAAGTCAGAGGCTCTGTTTTAATATTTATTAATGTCACAAAAAAGTTATTGCTCACTTCCTGTGTGTCACACACAGTGCCAAGGTGTTGGGGTTACAGTGATAAAAGAGATGAACACTATTGTTGCCCTCATCGAACTCACAATTAGTAATGACACCGTGGTGGCAGCAGGGGTGGGGTGCAGCACCTTCGTTCATTTCTATAGTCAATTGACATTTCTCAGCCTTCTGTCAAGTATGAAACACTGAAAGCCAAGTCCCCCAACCCAGATTACTTACCCCCCACCTACATGGAAATTCTGGGACCACCTCTGTTTATAGTGAAGTAGAGGAAATAGGCATTAAAGAAAAGTTGATCAAAGAATGATTCGATCACAGTTAACAGCAATGGCGCATTAGAGAGTACAGAGAGAAAAAGGAGGGGGCACAGCCTGGGGGTCCTGGCCGTTTCTCTGTAGCTCAGGTCTGCAGAACACAGACTCAGCCAGGCTGGGCTCGGTGGTAGAAGGCCCAGAAGCTGGGAGGAGCTGTGAAGAAAGCCAGAGCAGCTGAAGATAGCCAGGGGGACCCTGGTCCTGTGAGGAAGTGAGGGTGCATCAGACCCCAGTTTAGAACTCTGTTGTGGCAGTAGCCCCTAGGCTGTCTGGACCGGTGTGTTCAGCTGTTTCAGTGTTGGAGGCCGGAGAGCCTGAAAGACACATGGGCATGTACTGACTACAGACTGCTGGGCTTCAGCACTACCCTTTCAAGCTCTGTAGCTATGGACAAGTTACTCAAATCTTGCATGCCTCAGTTTCCTCCTTTGTAATATGATAACTGATAGTATACTTACCACCAAGAGTTGAGTAGAACTTGAATGGAATAATGCACATAAAGCCCTTAGAACAGCTTCTGGCACACTGTAAATGCCGAACACACATTTAGATGATTATTTGATATAGCCAGCCATTTTGATGCAAGGAATAAGTTAGAATTCTAAGAGGAACCCGTTTATCTGGGTGCATCAAAACCACAGAAAGATGCCTTGGCTGGTGTGGCTCATTGGATTCAGCTCTGGCCTGCAAACCAAAAGGCTGCTGGTTTGATTCCCAGTCAGGGCACATGCCTGGGTTGCAGGCCAGGTCCCTAGCAGGGGGCATGCGAGAGGCAACCACACATTGATGTTTCTCTTCCTCTCTCCCCTTCCCCTCTCTAAAAATAAATAAATAAAATATATATATTTTAAAAATCCTCAGAAAGAAAAAAACAATCTAAAGTGCCAAGTTTTCTTTATTAAGGAATAGGTAAAATGATAGTAGTATGACCATCATTGCTGCTTTAACTAGTACAACATTTGCGGGGCGAAAGCTGTGGTATTTTCAGCTGTGTGGCTAGGTATATTTGGTTCACCAAAGAGTTGAGTTTAACCATGGCCAACATAGATGCTTGAATATCTATGGTAGCAGAGAATATAACATAATGCTGACTATATGCTGAATGATGGTGTTTCGGTATCAGGGAAGAGGATATTACACACTTGGTGAGTTTGCATAATTCTTCATGTCTTCAAGGTTCTGCTGTAAAAAGGATAGTCATAGTATCTGCTTCTAAGTGTTGTTGTGAGCACTAAACACATGACGTTTTTCAAGTGCCTTAGCTCAGAGCCAGGTGCATAGCTATTTTTGTGGTCCTCTCATTGTTCTGTGTAAAAGGGAAATTGTAAAGATTTTAACTTGGTTATGATAGTACAGATCACTAGCTTCCTCTTCTCCATCCTTCCTCCAAGACACTTGTTTTCATTCTGCTGAACAGGGCAATGGAATATATTACAAAAGAAGCATTCCTGACCTTACGTAATTCAAGAGTGATTTCTTCATCAGCGTGAATGTAAAATCAGATTTGCATAGTATCAGCTTTGGCAACAGAATCAAGATTTTTATGAATGTATTTATATGGCCCAGTTCAAATGCACATAAAATGCAAGTACTCTGTCCATTTCAGATGTGGAAGCTCAATCCAGGACAACCAGTGTGAGCATAGAACAGGAGAGAAGAAAAAAACAGCCAAGAGTAAGTAGCCCCTTTGGTCCTTGCTTGCAAATCATAGCAATTTCCTGGTAACCAGGATGGGGACCCTGGGAGAAGCACCAGGGGATAAGGAGTAGATGTGTGGACTCTGGAGAGTCAGTGACTTTCTGGAGCCCAGTCTTGGCTTTCATACTGCATGAGACAGATGGGGTCTGTTCCCTTCTTCCTGACTTAACAGGTATGCTTGGGCCACCTTTCTCCCCTGGGCTTCATTGATACTATCTCATTTAGTCATTCATTCATTCATTCATTCAACCAATAGTTAAGCACCTTCTAGATGCCAGGGACCATGCCAGGCCCTGAGGATAAAACAGCAGATAAGTGCCCTGGCCGGGTAGCTCAGTTAGTTAAAGCATCATCCAATACACCAAGGCTGTGGGTTCGACCCCTGTTCAGGGCACTTACATACAAGAAGCAACTAGTAAATGCATAGGTGGGTGGAATAACAAATCAGGGTTTCTCTCTCTCTCTCAAATCAATTAAAAAAATACAACAAAAAACAGCAAATAAGTTATAGAAATCCCTAATTAGTTTAATGAAGGGAGCAGATAATTAAAAGCAAACACTCAAGTAATAATGTAATTTCAGACATTGGTCAAATCCACCAGAGGATTGTGACATAAAGGGATGTGACAGCGATTGTGGGAAGGAGCTGGTCTCCTTAGGGAAGTCGAGGAAAGCCTCTCTGGGCAATCTAAAGGCTGAAGAATGAGAGCCAGGCCAATGCCCAGGAAGGAGGGCATGGTGAGGCGCAAAGACCAGGGCAGGCACTGACTGGTGTGTTCCAGGAACCCTGACTCCTCGGGTCTGAGAATGCATTTGCTCGTCTCTGCTTGAAGACATGCCGGCCTCTTCCAACCGACTTGCACCACACTGGGGCTGGCCCAGGCTCTGGACTCTGGAGCACACAGCCAAGTGCACCAGCCTCAGGCACTGGGGAGGAATTTACAACCATGCTGAGCCTGTTTACCACCTGCCAGGGAGCTCTCAGAAGGCACAGGCTCTTTCTCAAAACCAGTTTTTACGGAGCCATGTGCAAAGCAATTCAACTGAGCGGGATTTTTTTCTTAATTAATCTTTTTATTGAAGTATAACAATAGTTGAACAATATGAAACTGCTGATATTCAACCACTTTTCATGGTTGTACGAAGATGACAATTTCATGTGATTCAACATAAATACATTCAGAAAAGTGTGTAAGTGAGAAGTGTACAACTCAATGAATTTTCACAAAGTGAACACAACTGTGGAAAGAGCCTCTGGGCCAAGAAGAAACATTACCAGCATTTTGTAGGCCTCACTCATGCTACTGTGGCTGCCAACTACTGCATACCCTGCCTCTACACATAAAGATAATCACTATCTTGATGTTTAGCACTAAATTTAGCCCACTTTTTTTGTCTTTCTATAAATGGTATTATACAGTAGACACTTTTTTTGGTGAAATTTATTCACAGTGTTACATATAGTTGAACTTTCTTTTTCATCGCTGTATAATATTCCATTATAATGGCTATGCTACTGTATACTTATTCATTTTAGTACTTATGGGCATTTAGATTGTCTCCTGTGTTTGTTTGTTTGTTTGTTTTCTTTTTTATCCTCACCCGAGGACATTTTTACATTGCTTTTAGAGAGAGAGGGAGGGGGGTGAGGGAGAATGACAGAAATATTGATGTGAAAGAGAAACATCGATTGGTTGCCTGTCACATGAGCCCCAAACAGGAGCCAAACCCACAACCTTAGCATGTACCCTGGCCAGGAATCAAACCCACAACCTTTAGGTTTATGGGACAACACTCTAACCACTAAGCCACCTCGACCAGGGCTCCAGTGTTTGCTTTTAATAATACTGCTTCTGTGAACATTCTTTTACCTGGCTTTTGTTGAATACATGTTTGTACATCTGTGGATATATACTGAGGCCTGATTCAGCTTTAGTAGGTATTTCTAAACAGTTATCCAGAATGGTTGCAGTAATTCACACTCTGCACTGCCTTAATCAATGCCTCCTTGCTGCCTAGCTCTTGGACCAGTTCTGTGCAAAGGATAGATATGGGGTGGGGTGCATGACATGATTCATGGGATGAATCTCAAGTCTGTGCAGCAATTGAGAGGATAAGTCTTTATAGCCAGCTAGGCCTGGATTTGGTCCTCTGTTTACCTGTCACCTCCATGACCTTGGCCAAGTCACCCGCACTGTCACTGAGCCTCAGGTCCTTCATCTATAAAGTAAGTGTAAGTAGAGTAGCTCTTACCTCACAGGGTCTTTCACCTGTTCCTTTATGTTGTTTGTAGAATGCCTAGTGCATGTTAGACACTGTTCTGGGTACTGACAATTCAGGCATGAACAGGACAGAAGAGGCTTTGCCCACATGGAATGTATGTTCTAGTTAGGGGAGACAGGTAATAACAGAGCAAACAAGTCATGAAGGTAATTTCAGATACGTGCTGTGGAGGCGATACAACAGGGTGCTGTGGTGAGGCCATGGCTTTAGGGGTGGTAGGGGAAGCAGGGAGGCAGTAACGGAGCTGTGGCCCAGATGACCAGAAGGAGGCAGCCATGGATGGATCTGAGGGAAGAGCACTCCATGCAGAAGGGCTGGCTGGTGCAGTGGCCGCCAGGCAGGAGCAAGCTTGGTATATGTGAGCCACAGAAAGAAATTTGATGCTGCAGGAACTGTCTGAGCAGAAGGCCTATTTGAGAAAAGGCGGCAGAAATAGGCCCAGGCCAGGTCCTGTAGGGCCTTGAAGGCCGTGGTAAAGGGTTTCCATTTTATTTTAGCATCAGTGGAAGTCATTGGAGAATTGTAAGCAATGGGAACTAATTTACATGAAGATTAAAATAATATATATGCACACTCTGCTGTGGCTCAGTCGGTTCAGAATTATGTCACAAAGCAAAAGGTCGCCAGTTTGATCCCTGGTCAGGACACATGCTTGGGTTGGGGGTTCAGTCCCTGGTTGGGGTACGTATGAGAGGCAACCAGTTGATGTTTCTTTCTCGCGTGGATGTTTCTCTTCCTCCATTTCTCCCCCTCTTTACCCTCTTTCCAAAAATAAATAAATAAAATCTTTAAAACATACATACATATATAAAACTTAGCAGAGAGTCTGGCATAGAGTGATGTTTAATAAATGTTAGTTGCCGCTACTGCTATTATTGTTATTATTGATGCTCTTAAAGAATCTAAAAATGTTCCTCCTCAATGAGGACGAGAAAGCTAAAGCGCAGAGCCATTACCATCCACGTGTAAAGTCAGTCACATCAGAGAACAGGATGTAGATTTTATTAATCAAAGGAAATGCTTTTGGTTCCTTTCCCAAATGGGACCTTCAAGACAGAGGATTTTCTCTGTGTTAGCAATTGTCTAGAGCCAACCAAACTCAGCTCTTTCAGCCCCACTTTACCAAAATGCCCACAGTTCAGTCATTTGGATGCCACTGGTTATGGTCCTGCTGCCATTTGGGGCCCTTGGAAAGACTCATCTGCTTCCTCTCTGCATCTGGTGGGCCAGGAATGGGGCGGCGCTGCCTGTCCTCCCCCTTGAGTGCCCGCCAGATTCACTGAGATGCCATCCACTATCCTGGCTTGGAGGCTCTCCCACCACATTCTCTCCATGCAGGCAGCCCAGGGAGTGTTTTTCCATTCAGGAAGGGCCTTTGAAGGAGCTGCCTTTAATTCTGTCTGATAACAGAGTAATGTCATGTTAATGATCTGTGAGTGAATGAATGCAAATTGAGTAATGAAACTGGGCAAAGCTTCTTAGGGTATATAACACTTGTTTCTGGGCCAGGTGCCCTTCTCTTAGTAAGGATGTTTTCATTCCTTCTTTATTGAAATTTATTAAACTTCTGTTAGGTGCCAGGCACTATACAGCAGTGAACAAAAAAGACACCATTTTTGCCCTCATGGTGCTTCCAGTTTAGTGGGACATACATCAATCAAACAATTGCACAAATATAAATAGAAAATGACAACAATGGGCCCTGGCTGGTGTGGCTCTGTGGATTGAGCGCTGGCCTGGGAACCAAAGGGTCGCCAGTTCAATTCTCAGTTTAGGGCACGTGCCTGGGTTGTGGGTGGGTCCCCAGTGGGGGGCATGCAGGAGGCAACCACACATTGATGTGTTTCTCTCTCTCTCTCTCTCTCCCTCCCTTCCCCTCTTTCTAAAAATAAAAAAATCTTCTTAAAAATTACAATGGGAATTGAATCAAGTGTATTTCCTTTGATTAATAAAATCTACATCCTGTTCTCTGATTTGATTGACTTTACATCTGTGGATGGTACTAGGTCTGCAGGAGATATATTGACACCCTGAAGGCATGTAATAAAGGCTGTGACTCTGGGAAAATTCCTCTAGTACATGACACTTGAGCTCAGCCTAAGAGGATGAGTGGTGACAAAATGGGTTTAGAGAGTGGGATGAAAAGTATTCCAGGCAGTAAACAGCATATGCAAAGGTCCTGAGGTGGGAGGGAGTATGCATGGTAATCCAGGGATGTCAGAGAAAGCCGCTGTGACTGCAGGGCTGAAAATGAGGTGGACTCTGGTCTGAGAGAAAGCCAGAGATATGGCAGAGGGGACAGATCACTAAAAGTTTTGAAGGCTATGGTAGGATATATAATTTAATCCTTCTTGAGGACTACGGGTTGCCACTAAAAGGCTTGAAGCTGTAGATGAGTGTATTCAAGGGAGTGTGTTATTCTGGCTGCAATGCGGAAAGTAGATCGGAAGGAGCCAGAATAGGTTCTGATAACTTCCCAGCCTTCTTTGGCTCTTCAGCCCCAGAGGTGACAATGGAGTGCTGGTTTTCCCGGTTTTAAGGTGTTGCATGCTCTCTCTGGTTTCTATGCACTCTCCCCACATTTGCAAACCATTCCTTTATCAGAGTCTCCTCAAATGATTGAATTTGTTCTATTTGACTTGATGGAGAAATCACATTGGCTGGATAAAGCAGAAGCAGACTTTAGCAGCTAC